GCAGAGGGAAAAAAAAAAAAACCAGAGATAAAAAGAGAAACTCCCCTCTGTGTAGTAAGGGGTGTGGAGAGGCCCAGAAACTTGACTGGTATTCACTGAGTCTTGTCCACTACTGCCGGCTTGCTATGGTGTTGCTTTTTTTTCCTTTTTAGGTCACACCTGGCGAGGCACAGGGGTTACTCCTGGCTCATGCACTCAGGAATTACTCTTGGCAGTGCTCAGGGGGACCGTATGGGATGCTGGAATTCGAAACTGGGTTGGCCACTAGCAAGGCAAACGGCCTACCCGCTGTGCTATCACTCCAGTCCCTGGTGTTGCTTTTTAAAAGCTCACTTCCTCCCTGTTTTGTTTTTGTTTAGTTTTTCTGGTTTTTTTTTGTGTGTGTGTTTTTGGGGTCCCACCCAGCAGTGCTCAGGACTTCCTCCTGACTCCACTCAGGGGTCATTTTTGGCCATGCTTGGGGGACCACATAGTGAATGCTGGAGATCGAACCTCGGTGAGCCTCGTGCAAGACAAGCAAGCACCCTACCCGCTGTACTATCTCCTGTGTCCCACCTCTCTCCTGCTTTGTTTTGTGTTTGGGGCCCACACCGGCCATGCCTCAGGGGCTGCTCTTGTCTCTGTGCTTGTTAGATGCCCTGGGTGATGGTGGCTCTGGGGACCATGTGACATGGGGACTGAACCAGGCCTCCTGTGTGCAGAGCTCAAATTCAGTCCCTGAGCTCACTCGCCGTCTCTTTCTGCCCTCCCTATTATTTTCATGCCGTCTCTGAAACAAGCATATGTGCAGAGAATATAAGGCACAGAATAATAGATGGCCATGGATCTCCCCTGAACATGGTGTTGACTAAAACACTGCCCAAGGCCTAGCACCCACTTATCCTGCACTCCATGGTGACTTCCAGAAAGGAAGCTTCCCGTTGAATTCTGTTCTAGTTGTCGCCTTGTTTCTGAATAGTTCTATCATGCTGGCACAGGTCCCGAAACAACGTATGGCATCATTTTGGAGCTTGATAAAAATAGTGTCAGATTCATACCGCATATGTGGTTCTTCGCATATGTTGAGTTCTTCACACAACACTTTTCCTCCAGAAAAAAAGTGGAAAAGAACATGGATTTGGGGGTAGGTAGAACTGGGCTGGGATCCAGATCCAAGGACTCCAGCTGCAAGCTTGCAGGAAAATGGCACCGTTCCAGCCTCCGCTTCCTCCTCTGGGTGAAGGGGTTCTCACGCGCCTTACTAAGGTGTCAAGAGGATTACATAAAATAAATGGACAGGGAGGGCTCCCCTGGCAGCACAGGTTCTAAGATAATACAGCGGATAAAGGACTTGCCTTGTACAAAGCCAACCGAGATTCTATCCCCAGCACCCCACAGGGTCCCCGGGGCCTGCCAGAGGGATCCCAGAGCACAGAGCCAGGAGTAAGCGCTGAGTAGAGGGTTGTTATCAAAGAACAACCACTCTAGTAGGTCCTGACTGTGTTTCTGCTTCTGAGGCATTGATAAACTACTGTCTAAGATCTTCACTAGTTCTAATCCCTCCATCCATTAAAGTTTGCCCAGGCTGAGGTCCTCTCTGTAGACCACCACAAAGGGAGCAACAGTGAACAGAATAGTGTCTGGGTGGAAACAAACAGAACATCCAATGGAAAGATCATTCTACCAATTGGTGCCAGATAAAATTCTTTGCACTATGACATTCCTCAACGAGGCCCTTTGCACATGTTCACGTCTTGTTCATCTTTGGAGAACAGGGCTTGACTTTTCTTTTATAGAGACTCTGAGGTGAATAACATTTGTTCCCAAGACAAAGACTTCAGCAAACATATATGTAAAAAAGGCAAATGCAGCTCAAGCTCAGGAGAACCAGGGGGGATGGACATTAAAATTCACTACGTTAAAATATTGATGTCTGCATTTATGAAATATTCATTGCTGTGTCCTGCAAACACTCAAGCGAGCCCTCTGGAACGGGGCTTCCTCAGCCCTCCACAGAGCCTTGCATCCTTGTGGTGCACGGTTTTCTCTCATCACTGGAAACACTCCACTTGCCTCACACTGGACCCTGTGGATGTGTCCATTGGCCAGTGCATCTGCCTGAAGCGAGCTGAGAGTACCTGGCCCCCCAGACCGGCGTCTCCTCTCGTCTCCACACCCCAAGAACCACCGTCTGCCGGCAAGGGCTGCAGGGACCAAGGCCTGTGGGAGTGGCCAGCCCATGGCTCTGTCCACAGGCTAGCAGAGGCTACAGGATGCACCTCCCAAAGGGCCCTTGGCCCCTGACCTGGTGCTCCAATTCCCAGGGGATTCTGGGAAACCAGGAAAAAGGCTGCAGGGACTTCCCGGTCAGTGGGGCCTTAGTGAAGCTGGCGCGGGCAGTCTGGGGGAAGGATGAACACTCAGACCCCCGGGATTGTGGAACACAGACCCTGCAGTATGGGGACCCATTTCCCTGTCAGTTGCTTAGCTCTGCATCTCCTGCAGGACCAAGCATCTCAGGGGAAGGTCAGACAGTCCCTAAGAGGCGCGGCTCCACATGCTAGGGGAAAAGGCAGCTCAGATAGAGAAGGGAGCACCAAATAAAGGGTGTTGGGAGGATCCTCCCAGGATGGAGATGCATGCTGAAAGTGGATTATAGACTGAACATGATTGCCACTCAATGCATCTTTTGCAAACCACAGCACCCAAAAGGAGAGAGAGAACAAAAGGGAGTGCCCTGCCACAGAGGCAGGGTGGGATGGGGGGGAAGGGGGGGTGGGAGGGATACTGGGATCCGTGGTGGTGGAAAATGGGCACTGGTGGAGGGATGGGTACTCAATCATTGTATAATCAAAACCCAAGCATAAAAATTTGTAAGTCTACAACTGTACCTCATGGTGTTTCACTAATAAAAATAATAAAGTAAAATAAGAGGCACGGCTCATGGGGGGCGGCCGAGCGACCCACCCAGAGGCAGGGGTCTTTACCAGGAGCACCGGGCAGAAGCAAGCCACCATTTCATCCACATTCAGAGATGAAGAGCAGGACAGGCAACGGCAGAGGACAGACAGCGCTTGTCCAAGGTGAGGCAAAGCTAACCATCTAGCGGGCTGTTACTCAGGTCCTGGACTGGCTGTCCCAGTTCACACAGGCTGAGCGACAGCACGGCCTGGGTTGCCACAGACACGCTCACACGCATGCTGGTGGCGCAGAGCCACGCTCTCCCTCTCGCTCGCCTTCAGCTTCCTCTCCAGTAAAACGTGGCCGTCGGCCAGATCAGTCCTGAAAGGCTGACCTGAGCCTCGACCGGACACTCAGAACTGGAAGTTAGATCAGCGTCTCTCTGCTCCTGGCTCTAACCAGAGGCAGACCGTGCCCTTAGCCGCGCCTTACTCCCAAGTAGCTCACAGCAGAGCTCCTAGCCCAGACATTCGATGTTCACTTATGTGACCAGCCCTGACAGCAGCCCTGCTGCTCTGTGGAGCCTTGCTGGAGTGAACAACGGTGCCTGTTCTGGAGGGCAGGGACCATTCCCTCAGGCAGCGTCTTCCTCAGAGCTTTTTCCTCAGGGCTCTCTTCTATACTTTTTCTGGCTGGATGCTTCTCTGAATATTTTTTCCTTTGTTTAAAGGCCCTGCCATCCAGGAACAAATGACTAGTTAAAGAAACTTTGGTACATCTATACAATGGAGTACTATGCAGCTGTTAGAAAAGACGAAGTCATGAAATTTACATTCAAATGGTACTACATGGAAAGTATCATGCTAAGTGAAATGAGTCAGACAGAGAGGGACAGACATAGAAAGATTGCATTCATCTGGGGGAATATAAAGTAACAAAATAGGAGACCAACATCCTAGAATAGTCCAGATAAGTTACAGGAGGTTTATTCCAGGGCTTGAAGGCCAATCTCACATGCTACGGGAAAGGGCAGCTCAGACAGAGAAGGAAACACCAAGTAAAGGGTGTTGGGAGGATTCTCCCAGGATGGGAGATGAATGCTGAAAGTAGACTATAGACCGAACATGTTTGTCACTCAATGCCTCTTTTGCAAACCTTAGCAACCAAAAGGAGAGAAAGAACAAAAGGGAATGCCTTGCCATAGAGGCAGGATGGGATGGGGGTGTGGGAGGGGTGGGAGGGTTACTGGGATCATTGGTGGTAGAGAATGGGCACTGGTGGAGGGATGGGGACTCGATCATTGTATGACTGAAACCCAAGTACAAAAACCTGTAAGGTCAACAGCTGTACCACATGATGTTTCACTAATAATAAATAAATAAATAAATAAATAAAAATAAAGGCCCTGCCAGCAGTGCTCAGGGCTTACTCTTGGATCTGTGCTCAGGGGTCACTACTGGAGGGGCTCGGGGGACCATGTGTGGCCTCTGAGATTGAACCAGAGTTTAGAGAACGTAAGGAACATGTGCTGATGAGTGTGGTGTTGCGATTTGTGCATGAGAAATCATTACTAAGAGTGAAAAATAACCCGGGGTTGGCTGCAAGGAAGCTTCTATCGCTTCGGCCCTGAAAGCTTTGACCGAAATGACGGCATCTCTCGGTGGGGGCATTGGTTCTGGATTCTTCCCCTGGATGAGGCAGCTCGGCCCTTCCCTGACAGGGGTGGCCAAAGGCAAGGAGGCCCTGAGTCCTTCATGCCCCAGGGTCACCCAAGCCTATTCTCCTTCCCTGCACTGCCTGTTCTTCATCAGGAACAGCGTCTGAGTGGACCCTTTCTATTCCGACTTCCAAGCATTCTTTCTCAGATTTCTGCTCATCAGCACCATGGTTTGGGCCTGGGGAGAGGGCCCAGCTTTTCTGCATCATCAGTGTCCCCCCTCTGCTCCTTCTCGCTCCCCTTCTTTCTGGGGGAGCTTCTCCCCGCCACACTTCACACTGAGAAGCTGCCCCGCCCCCGGCTCCACCCGCTGAGACCCTATCCTGACCACGGCTGTGTTTGTTCTCTGGGACTACCCTGAGAGACAGAGGAGCGCTGAACGGGTGGATTAAAGACGTTTATTTTCTGACAGTCACAGAGAAGGAGGTGAGAGGCTGAGGGGCAGCCGGCCCTGGCTCCTCGAGGCCGGGGACAGCACCTTCCGGCGTGCCTGCCAACTTCCCTGTGTCCTCATCCGACTTCTGAGGAGGATGCGGCCCCTTGTGAAGCCCACCCAGCAACTTCCTGTCACATGAGTCACCTCCTTAGAGACCCTTCTCCAAAGTGACCATTGACTCCAGTTCTGGGCTTGGGACTTCAACGAGGGAAGCCATGATGCAGCTCGTCCGGGCAGAGACACAGCTGAGAGCTGCCCCGGGTCTCAGGACACTTGGGCTGGTGTGAAGGAGACACCTGGGGCCCGGAAGGGCTCAGCCTCACCATCTGGGGGGATGCCCATCGGCACCCCAGCCCTGGGTGCCTCCAGGAAAGATGCAGCTGACCGGGAAGGAAGCCACGCCCTCAACAAACCAGTTTAGTAAAAGTGGAGGAAGAGGCACAGTCGGCTGGTCTCTGGCGGCCTGGCGTGCTTCAGCCCAGCTCCATGTGGGCTCTGGAGGCCTCAGGGTTGGTCCCTCATGCGCTCTGTCCCCCGGGGGTGGCCCCTGCTTCCTGGGGTCACTTTTCACCAGGCTGCCCATGGGGCTGGCCTCCTTTTCAGATGTCCCTGCATGTCCACCCGGGGTTCCGAGGCTGGCAGACAGCAGAAGGCCATTTGGTGGGGAATCGGAGGTGTGGGCAGGCCGGCGCCTCCTCCTGGTAGACGGTCACAGTGCCCACGACCTCTGGGTTCCCAGCCATGTCCACGGAAGCCTGCAGGCCCATCTTGTCAGATCCCCAGTGCTGGGGACAGTGGGGACAGGACCTGCAGGTGGGAGCCCGCTGGCCTGGGGCTCCAGGGCCAAGCCAGCCACTGTCAGGTGCTGCTCCTCCGGCGAGGGTGCAGTGCCTTCCTCCTGGCGACCTCCTCTTCCGTGTCGCTCTCGCAGTTCCTCTGCAAAAACAGAAGAGGTGCCAGGCGTGGGGCTGAGAGCCAGCAGGAGGCCAGGCGGGGACGCCTGAACAGTCAGGTCGGATTGTGTCCAGAGCCTGGGGCTGGATAGAGGGTGGGGGCAGAGAGAGCAGGCGGGGATGGACCCACCCTTGGGACCAAGCAGTGCAGAAAGAGCCGCGAAAAACACAGCACGGAAAGGCTGAATCGTACACTGAACCCTGGTGTCACGTGTGGCCGCCTGCCTGGTGTCTGCGGGCAGATGTTCTGCCTGAACTCAGCAGGGGGTCACGAGGGAGGTAGGGGCAGGCCCTGGGGACCCCCCAACACTGACAGCACCCACACACACCCTCTCCTCACACTAGCTCGGCCTCTGCCTATCCGAGACGTTGTTTGGGAAGGCAGAGGGAATCAGACAATCAGACTCGGGGGCACATGGGGGTCCCTGGGATGTGGGGCTGGAGCCTAGACTCTAGCTCCAGCCCTTGGAGCTGGCTCCTGGCTCCTTGGCTTACATCTGCTTTGGGTTTTTTTTTCTTTTTGTCTTTCATATTTTTGGCTACACCTGGAGAGCTCAGGGTTGGCTCTTGGTTCTGAGTTCAGGAATCACTCCTGCTGGGCTCGGGGACCATGTGGGATGCTGGGACTCGAACCAGAGCAGCCAAGTACAGGGTAAGCGCCCTCCCCATTGTACTATTGCCCCAGCTCTCCCCTGTCTCACCCTCTTTAACAGGAAGTGGCTTCTGTGCTGCATTTGGGGGAGAGGAGGTTGGGTCGAGCCCACAGCTGATGGTGCTCAGGGGCCATTCCTGGGTCTGTGCTCATTCAGGTCCCCTGGAAGTGCTTGGGGGCCATATGTGGTAGGGATTGAAACAGCCCTGGCAGTGCCTTCCCACGAAAGGAAGAAGAGAGTAGGTGCAGCCCAGAGGGAGACTGCCAGGCAGCAGCTCGGGGTTCACAGGACCTTTTGCCCTCAGAGCACAACGGAGCTTATTGAATTACCTCCCACCCAGACTGGCTTATGGGCCGGTGACTGTACTCTGAGTAAGATGATTGACTTGTCCACAGCCAGCCTATGTTCCATACCCAGGACCCTGTGTGGTTCCCTGAGCCCATCGGAAGCAACCCCTGAGCACAGAGCCCAGAGAAAGGCCTGGGTGCAGAACCGGGAGCAAGCCCGGTTTGCAGCATGGCTGAGTGGGCTAGAGCTTAAACACACAAATAAAAGTACTGATTTAGGAAGACTTGCATCATTTAAAAAAAAAAAACTTCCACAAACTTGCTTTTAAAGACTCCTAAACAAGAAGATTGTTTTTTTTTCTTTTTTTGGGTCATACCCAGTGATGCTCAGGGGTTACTCCTGGCTTTGCACTCAGGAATTACTCCTGGCAGTGCTCAGAGGACCATATGGGATGCTGGGAATCAAACCCGGGTCGGCCGTGTGCAAGGCAAACTCCTCACCCACTGTGCTATTGCTCCAGCCCTGAAGATGCGTTTTTAAGGAAGCCCCTCTAGGAAAACCAATAGGAGCTCTTGGGGACCCCGTCCTCCTTCCTCTCTGCAAAATGATGCAATGAGCTGACGGTGCTGAGTGTCTGATCCAGAAGACCCTTTGTTGGGTTCACAGGTGGCCTCGGTGTTCCTCTCAGTCACAGTTTCAGTGCAAGGGCTGAGGACATAGCATTGCTCAGGCTGAGTGGTGCTGGAGACCCCAGGCTACCTGAGGTGCTGAGGGGCTCAGGGCCATACCCCCAGCTACTCAGGGCCTCGAGAGCTATATCCAGATATGCTCAGGGTTCAAGTGAAGCTGGGCCAGCCATGCCCCAGGTGTTTGCCTTATCTCCGTGGTCTCTGGCCCAGAGGGTTACATCGGTATGTTTTCACAAGGCCAGGAGTAGTACAGAAGTTCAACCTGGGTGACCCGGGTTCACTCTCTAGCACCATATGACCCCTGAGCATCACCAGGGGTAGCCCTGGAGACTCCCAGCACTGGACATCCCCAGCACCACAGGGCCAGGCAATACCGAGTCCCTGGGGCCGTACATGAAGCTGCAGCCTGGGTGGCTGAGTGTTCCTGGTAGGGGCCTCTGGGCCTCCTCACCCCGCCTCCCAATAAACAACAGAGATGGTCCACGGGGGGCAGAAATTGGGAGGGAACTTCACATTCTTTCCCAACTCCCCTGGTCCTCCCCATGGTTAAGAGCAGGTCCACCGCCCACCGGGTGGCAGCTCTGGGCCTCCTTCCCTTCCTCTGGCCTGAGCCAGCTGGAAATCCAAGGTCAAGATCAACTTTAGAAAAAGTATGTCCTGGACCGAGTCTGGACAGAACAATAAAAATAACTCGGGCTCTGCTGAGTGGCGCTTTTCTGCCCGAGTCTGAGTCAACCGACACGATGATAAGCTGAGCAGGAGTCTAGACCCAATGGGAGCATGTGAGCAGTGGCAGAGAAGGGGCATGGCTGGAGCAGACCCCACTGTAGTTCTGCGTCTCCGGAGCGCAGGGATAAGTGTTAGCAAGGGCTCTGGGAAGGGCCCAGGCAGCGGAGCCGGGCGGCTCAGGGCTCCCTGTCTACCTCGAGAGGTGCCTTCCTGCCCCTTCCTGGGCGTTGGGTCCCTTCCTCCTTGACCTGGGCCAGCCCAGACCCTCTGAGCTGCAGGGCTCTGTTCACCTCTGCTCACCCACCATCTCCCACCACTGAGACCAGCCCTGATGTACCTGGAGCCCTCCAGACTGCCCTGGAACTATCTACCTGCTAAGAGCATCCTGCACACTCAGCATGCCAGGAGCTATATGAGTGAATGACTGGAGCTTACAAAGATGGACACAGAGACGGCAAGGCAGTGCCTCAGGCCACACAGCTGCACCAGAGACCACACTCCTCTGGCCAAGTCTAAGGGTTCCGTTTTTGATGTGTATCAAACGGTGGCAGCCCACAGTAGGGTTAGTTCAATTATAGCTGTTAGCAGCACTCTACAGCAAAGCATAAGAGGACAGACCAGGAAGTGATGGTCCGTTCTACAGTGGTGCTGGCCCACCAGACCCGGGTCAGGTTGCTAGTACTGGTCTGCAGCCCTGGGCCACGGCACAGACCCTGTCAAGTCCCACTGGGAAAGGATTCGAGATTCCTCAGAACCCTCAAAATTTCCCGCAACCCCAGGCACCCCTGAGCCTCCTGCAGCCCCCCAGGTACCTCTGACCACGTGCCCTGGGCAGATCATGGCGCAGAGCAGGGCAGTGACAGCCAACAGCCCTGTATGCAACGACCCAACGGGCCCCGGGTGCCAAGTCCAGGCCTTCCCAGAGCTCTGCCCAGGACGGCACCCGCCCTACATACCAGGTCCTCACTGGGCTTCAGCTGGACCTTCTTCATGAGGGAGCGGGTGAGGTGGTTGCACAGGGAGACGATGCTGAAGGAGAGCTGTGGGGAGGGAGAGGGGACACCAGTGAGACATGGCCTCCCCAGGGCACTCCTGCACCTGCTCACCTGCCAGCCCCCACACCGGATGGGCATGGACCCCCCAAGGTCCCTTCTGTGCCTGGTCACCTGCCAGACCCCCACACAGAATGGGTATGGACTCCCAGGGCCCCTCTGGAAACTTCTCACCTTCCAGGGCCCCCCCAAAATGGGCAAGGAACCCCCAGTGTCCCCTGGCACCTGCTCACTTTCCAGCCCCCCTCCCAGGATGGCATGGACCCCCAGGGCCCCCCAGTGCTCAGCTCACTCACCTTCCAGCCCCTCCTGCATGACATGGACCCCCCCAGGGCTCCCCAGTGCTCACTCACCTTCCAGCCCTCCCCCAGCATGTCATGGACCCCCCCAGGCCTCCAGTGCTCACCCACCTTCCAGCGTCGGCGCACGTACTGCTTCTTGAAGTTCTCCAGGTTGACCACGGACTCCCGGCGCACCATGGCCTGCTGCTGGTCCACCGGCTGGGACAGAGCAGAGAAGCGCTGACACCCACCCTCTCTCCGCAAAGCCCACCTGAGCCCGCCCTGGCACCTCCCCGCCGAACTGGGCACGCAGAGGGACCCCGAGGTGAGGACAACAGTCACAGGCGTCTCAGCTGTCCGGGAGATGCCCTTGGCGTCCCGAGCTATTATTACCACCAGACTCAGGTTGGCTGCGCTGCAGAGGCCCTGCCTGGGAGGGGGCGGGGGGAGGTCACAGCCCGGTCCTGCCCAGGAGGGTCATTTTATAGCAGCACCGATGCCTTGCACTGCCCAGTGGGCCTGGGCTTAGAAAGGCAGGGGCTTGCGGGCAGTCAGGCCTTCGCACCCCAACTTAACGTCAAAGCAAGGAAAGATGACCCAGGGCACAGCTGTCCCTCACCACCCCACGGCAAGACAGACAAGATGACTCCCCAGGAAGCCGGGTCCAGGTGCCCCGTTCACACGGGGCTCATCTGTCACCTGGGGGTGGCAGCACATGAGGGAATCAAGATGAAATTCATGTGGGTACTAAAGTGTTTTTATCCAGGATGATTTGTAAGCAGGAGTAAAGGACTGTCACCTGCCCACCTCGTCCGTTCCCTCTTCTACAATACTTCAGGGCTGGAGAAAATACTTCGATGAGCTAAATCCATTCTTTGTATGCAGAAGGCCCAGACTCAATCCCCAGCACTGCATGGTCCCCAAGCACAGAGGTGGGATAGCCTCTGGGCGCCACCATGTAAGTCCCTAGCCCCCAGAAAAAATTCAGATTTTTAAAATCGTCTTGAGGTATGATTGGTATACAAATGTATCCTGGGCATATTTAATGTAAATGATTTGATAGGACCACTCTCTCCTGGATTCCTCCCTAAGAAGTGGGTTTCAGGGATTCTGCGAACGTTCAGAAATGGTTTGCAAATTTAGTGTGTAACATTCTACATGCATGTTCAGAGTGGCCTAATTCACGTTGGCTCAAGTATGAAACATACTTGGCTCAAGTATGAATGGTGTGTGGTCTGTCCTGTCATGGGACATCAGGAAGAATCCCTAGAAGCCCCAGGAGGAGTGAGGGGCTGCTGAATGCCACACAGACAAACCCTGAAAACATGATCAGAAAGAAGCCAATGGCAGAACATTGCTCACAATGTTATTATTAAAGCTTGAGTGTGTATGTGCCGAGTATCAGTGTGTGAGTGTGTGCTCCTGAGTGTGTGAGTGTGTGTGTTCTGAGTGTGTGTGCCCTATATGTGCATGTATTCTGAATGTGTGCCCTGAGAGTGAGTGCGCTGAGTATGTGTGTACCCTGATTGTGTGTGTGCCCTGAGTGTGTGAGTGTGTGTGTTTATGTGTCCTGACTGTGTGTGTCCTGAGTATGTGTGTGCCCTGAGTGTGTGAGTGTTGTGTCCTGATGTGCTTTTGCTCCCCGTAGCTGGCAGGAGAGGCTCTGTAACCCACATCTCCCCAGTCATGGTCCCTGGAATGGGGGATGGTGTTGCCCGTGTCCCTTGGGAGAGAGGAGTCCACGTTTGTCTGGCCAGAGCAGGGTGGACATCAGGGTGGAGAATACACCACGACACTCCTGTGTGCTCCGCACAGCCAGGAGTGGCCCTCACAGTCCCACCTGTGAGGCTGAGGCTGCTCCAGCCCAGGAAGGAGCAAGCCCACAGGTCTTTGGCCCCTGGGGCAGGAGTATAAAGTCGGCAGTAAATTCAAAGATCCCAAACAAACAGATTTCTTTCCTTTGATTTTTATTTTAGTGATGTGAGAAGCTGATGTCAGTGGAACTAATATTGGCAATCAATTCACAACACACTTAAACCAAACCCTAAACGTTTGCAGTGATGTGTGATAATTATTTTTTCATAAAACCAAGAGAACTTTTGGACCAGAGCAGGTAGGTGCTTGCCTTGCACATGGAAGATGAAGGATCCATTCCCATCACCCCATTTGATCCCCTATGCCCCGCCAGGAGTGATTCCCCTAGTGCAGAGCCAGGAGTAAGCCCCGGTCCTCAAAAAAGTTGGGAGAATTTTTTTGGGGGGGGCAGGGATTGGGGTCACATCTGGCGATGCTCAGGGGTTACTCCTGGCTCTACAGTCAGGAATTACTTCTTTCCATACTTGGGAAACTATATGGGATGTCCGGGATCAAACTTGGGTCATCCACATGCAAGGCGAATGCTCTACCCACTGTAATATTGCTCCAGCCTTGGGAGGACTTTTAAACTTAACAAAGGTCACGGTCACGGTCCTCCTGTTGTTCATCGATTTGCTTGAGCAGGCCCAGTAATGTCTCCATCATGAGACTTGTTGTTACTGTGTTTGGTATATCGAATATGTCATGGGTAGCATGCCAGGCTCTGCTGTGCAGGCGAGATACTCTTGGTAGCTTGCCGGGCTCTCCCAGAGGGGTGGAGGAATCGAACTCAGATCGGCCATGTTGGCTGCTTGTAAGGCAAATGCCCTACCCGCTGTGCTATCGCTCCAGCCCACTTTCATATTATGAATCTCCATTTGATTTCTCTACATTTGTCTTAATGGGAAGCAGTTCAAGGGTCTAGGAAGGAAGTGGTGAGGGGATGCAGGAGCCCGACCTCCTGTCCTGTTGCACAGACAAGGGCTGTCTGAGCAGGACACACATGTTAGACTCATTTTTAATGAGAAACAAGATTTCATCACTTGAAACTATTTCTGTATGCCATTGTTTCTTGTCAGGTAATCTCCAATAAATACCCTGTTAATAACAAAAAACAAAATACCTGAAAGAAGCCAGACACCAATAACCATATATTTTGCATGGCTGTGTCTACATAAAACGTGGGCGATAAGATCGAGGGCAGTGGCCAGGTGAGGGTGGAAGTGGACAGAGGATGGGAGACACTCCAGGTCCAAAGATTCTTTGGGGATCGATGAAAAGGCTCTGAAATCGGTGATGATAGTTGCACAGCCAAGAAATGAATAAAATCACTAAGCTGTGCTTTTAAATGGAGAAGTTTGTGCATAAAGCTTGTGCATAAAGTTTGTGCAAATGCATAAAGACTGTGTGTGCAGACTGACATCCTGACCGAGGAAAGCTGGGAGCTTTCAGGAATTCTCAGGGACACCACAGCCTCTGCAGAGTAGCCCCTGCCCCAGGGGCTGGAGACCCGTGGACTTGCTCCTTCCTGGGCTGGAGCAGCCTCGGCCTCACAGGCGGGACTGTGAGGGCCACTCTTGGCTGTGCGGAGCACACAGGAGTGTCGTGGTGCATTCTCCACCCTGCTGTCCACCCTGCTCTGGCCAGACAAACGTGGACTTCTCTCTCCCAAGGGACACGGGCAACACCATCCCCCATTCCAGGGACCATGACTTGGGAGATATGGGTTACAGAGTCTCTCCTGCCAGCTACGGGGAGCAAAAGCACATCAGGACACAACACTCACACACTCAGGGCATGCACACACACACATACACTCGGGGCACACACACACACACACAGTTAGGGCACACAGACTCAGGACACACACAGTTAGGACACATAAACACACAAACACTCAGGGCACGCACACACACACTCAGGGCATACACATACTCAGCGCACTCACTCTCAGAGCACACATTCAGGATACATGCACACATAGGGCATGCGCACTCAGGACACAGCACACTCAGGGCACACGCACTCACACACTGATACTCGGCACACATACACTCAGGACACACAGACACACACATTCAGGACACACTGTCAGGATGACGCACACATTCAAAACACCCACACTCAAGACACACACACACTGGGGACTCAGGACACACTCTCAGGATGACAGACTCTCAGAATACACACTCAGGACACACACCGAGGACACACACACTTGGGACACACACGCTTGAGACATACTCTCAGGATAACACATACACTCAGGACACACTCAAGACATATACACTCAAGACATTCACACTCAAGACACACACTCAGGGCACACACACTCACACACTCAGGACACACGCACACTCAGGGCATACATTCGCACACACATACATTCTTCTCGCTGCAGGACAGAGACGCCCACTGAGCTGGGCCCATGAGGGGAGCCGGGTTCGACACTGGCACCACACAGTTCCTAGAGCACCAGCAAGTGCAGCCCTCTCCTGTGTCCTTCAGGTGTGCTGCCACCTTCTCTACCCAAGACACACAGCAGTGGGCGCTCCGTGACTTTAGGACCAAGCTGACTTCCCAAGTTGATAGGAGCCAACTGGGCGCAGTGCCAGGACCAGGGGCTGAGACCAGCAACTACGACCCCGTGAGAGGCGCCAAGGCCTGTCACAGCTGCCCTGGGGCTGCAGAGCTCCGTGAGGCAGAGGGAGAAGAGGACGAGGGCCCGGGGGTGCCGGGTGCCCTGCCCAGCTCAGCAGCCTTCTTAGTTGCCAAGAGGCTCAGGAAATGCTGACGTCATGCTCTGAAGAATGATATTATGTTTGTAAGCATATAAATTCTGCACCAAAAGCTCTTCCTGGAAGGAACACGGCACCAATAATTTTTATGAAATGGGGGAGGGTGCGGAAATAGAGCTGTGCTTCCCTTCTCACACCCATCGCCCACCCCTTCTGCCCTGCAGCCCCCGGTGACCTCTGAGCAGGCAACTAGGAGCATGTTAGATGCTCAGAAAAACTGAAGAAGGAAGGCAAGAGGCAGAGGTGCGTGGGTAATGTTGGGCTTTATTCCCGCAGAGGCAAAGGCCTTTGAGAAGGTCCTGGAGGGAGGCTGGCTCTGGCAAGAAGGGCCGCCTCCGCCTTTGAGGGCAGAAACCTGGAATTAGCCTTTATGAAGCTCCTCCCTACTGCCAGGCTCCCTGAGAAAATGGACACATCACAACTGTTGAAACTTCTGTCTGTGCCCTTTCTCCAGCCCAAGCTCCGCAGGCAGCCGGGGACCTCTGAGCACCCCTGCATCCCCCTGCCCTTGTTTGTTGGGGCTTCTCCCTGGCACCTAGAGTGGGTCTCCACAGATGGCATCCCCCA